TGTAAAACTAAATAGATAAAGAAAAATATCAGTTTCGTCCCTCATATAAAACCTTTTTACTTGAACTCTAAGTAGATACTTACCTACTACTAAGTATTCTGATTGAAATTTCAGACGATTGGAAAGTACTCTTTTAATATTTTTTAATGACGTTGTAGAATTGATATCGTCAGCGATATTTATCGAGAGCCAATTACGATGAAAATGTGAAGAAAATAAAATGAAATAAGTAAGTGGACACTTCAGTAAAAGAGGACTTAAATATTTATTATTGAAACAAAATTTTAACGAATGTTTCTTTTACAATATTTTTTAAGCAACAAGTAGTTCAACTAGTAGACTGTTACCAAGTGACGATGATAATAATCAACACACTTAGATACTTTAGCCAATTACTTGAAATCTCTTCTTATTGACCGGTGTAGTCACCCGAATCACAAATAAGTCACAAACAAACAATAACTCTTGTTTAGTCATTGAATCATGAACCCTCGTAATAAAATATCCTAATCTCGAAAACATTTGTATTATAAATGCTTTAAAACTCAGCGATTGGCAGAAATCGCAATAAAAACAATACGCGCTCATCCAAACATTCGGAATTCAAAACAAAAGCGTGCTAATGACGTCATCGCGAACGCTTGCTCGCAAGTCAAACAAAATGCAGTAATCCTGCAAGTAAGCTCCGTAACAAATGTTCCCCTAATTAAATGGACTACCATCCATTAAAATGTACGTACGTAGATGACGTCATGAGGTAACGTAGCAGGGAAGTAGCGTGGTAAACTTGTCCATATCTCACAAGTAAAGCTGCACCTACACTCGGCAATAATTCGTTGAGCAATATTTGTGATTGCGCAATATTTGAACGCAAGTTTGTGCTGTTTTATTGCTCAATTATTTCTCCTTCTTTACATCGTGCACCGTTTAGGGTTAATGTTGTGTAATCATTTAATTCACTGTTCTGATTATGGGTTTAACTTTTAGTCAAAATATGATGACATCAAAAGAACGATATACTTGCCATCACACCTTATTTTTCCTGTGGGTTGTATATGTATAGAAAAAGCCGACTCAGAGAATACACATTTGACAAAAAACCGACCGGGTAGCAGCGGCGATAAACCTAAACTTTTAAAGCTGCAATCTTCAACCCCCTTGCGAAGCATAGACATTATGGCAAATTCTCTTACGCAGAAAAAACTCTGTCCAGCAATATACAGTCTAACAGGCGATTGATATTGTAAAGGAAATGCTTAAACAAAAAAGTTGCGCAATATTTAAATGTTGATGTTTCAACTGTATAAGAAGCCTAACTCATCGCTCACAAGTTCTTTCGCTACGGACACTCGGTTAAGTAATTAATTCTTTCGCAGTTCAGTTTGAATAAATGACTTAGTAGTCGACTCTAACTTTATGCGACGACTTTTCAACGAAGTAGTTTAAATTATTTTGTACTTTTACGATTTTACATTATTGTTTTGTTTGAAAGTAGGTACAAAACTTTTGACATTATTTGCAATGCAAGCGACTGTGTTTATTGGATGGTGATGGTGGAGTTTATTGAGAATCTGAGGTAAATAATTAACTCTTAACCTCTTTCATCTTTGTTATTCTAAAAGCCTTTTGAATCACAAACGGAAAGCGAAAGTCAATGTAAAACCTACTTCATCAGCTTGAGAACCAAACACAAAACATTGTTCGGCAGTCGACTGATTTACCAAAGAGGTTTTTATCAGTATTTATCAGTATATACAGTATGACAAACCTCCTTTCAGTTTGCCTGAAGTCTCGATTATGCGGAAATTCTAACATTATAAAGCTTTTAAGACGTTCATCAGTCAACGTTAACTTTAATTATTTATTTAAGTTACATAATTTACTTTGTTATTATTATTAATTCCTTTTGTTTATCTCTTGAACAATGACACTAATGGTGTTAATTATTTTAATCACAATTACTGTTGTTTGATTTAGAGATGAGTTATTTTTAGATATTTTTTTGTTTTTGTGGAACTTTATGTAGCTGAAAATACCTCCAAGAGGACATGGAAAAATCGTCAGTGAATTGAAGAAATTATCAATTACTGCTTTTATCTACATATTATTAATTTCTTCTAATTTACGGACACTTAAATACCTCATTTCTTTGATAATAACTACATACATCATTCGTTTGAAGTCTAAAAAGACTTCATTGAACTCGTAACTTCATTATCAAAGATGAATTCTGAAAGAAAGAAAACAAAATACTCAGCAACATTGACATAGTACATCATCTACGTAATATAGACAGCAGCGTGTTCCAGACATGCCATCAGATCTATCCACTAAAGAGAAAACCAAAACAAACAGTTCAAAGGCTGACTCTTTTAGATTTCATACACTTTTAAGAGATGGTAGAGACTAGATATAAGCAATATCCATCAAGAAAATAAAATAATAACAGACGGAGGGAGGGCGGCGCCACACTACACGAAATCTCAGCGCTAGTTTAGTTCCAGTGTCGGGCTGAGCTCCTATTTGCAATAAACACGTCCCGTGTGGTCCCACAACCAGGAACAACTTTCACAGACTTGTTTGCACTTTGAAATGTTAAAACTGGAACGTTAGTTCGTAAACGGTTTGAATTTCTTTAGTCTCTCGTGAACTCTGAATTAGCTACAGAGATCTTTAAGGAATGAGTTTTCTCACTTAACTTTGAGAACAAATATTATTGTTAAATGAAGAAAATGTTGAGAATAAAACTGTTAGTTTATTTGACTTTTTACATTATGCGTGATTGTAAACTTCTTATATAGGTAAACTACTTGACGCTTAATGCTTTATTATGTGGGGCCAAGGACCTCTTCTCACACAGAGAAGGTTTGAGCATTAATCACCACGCTTGCTCACTGCGGACGATTTCAAACTTATAATTAGAAATTCTAAGCCCAGGTTTCCTCAGGATGTTTTCCTTCACCGTTTGTCATTGGTGTCTAAATAATCTTGGAAAGTACGTATAACTTGGAAAGACTCACATTGGTACTTGCTGTTGGTAGGTTTCGAGCCCGCATCCACAGGGACGAGAAGAGGGCATTTTAAACCTCCGGGTTACCATGACTTATTATGTTATTATGTTTATTGAATGAAATTTAGATACATTTAGAAAGAGAGTAATAGCGTATAATATTAAAGAAATTATTTCATCATTATCAGATATACATATAGACCTATGAATAGGATATAAAACCCAATAAAACCAATAAACGTGTTAAAATGAAATTAACCTGTTTCGTAAATTCTAAACGAAATCGAGGAGAATGTCTTGTTCAGAGAGTGTTACCAGGATGGATTACAATTCTAATATTTAAAAAGAGCAATAAAGCGACGCTGAAA